CCGATGGAAGTGGGAACATATGTCTATGAATTTCATCACCAAGTTACCCAGAACTCCAAGGGGGCGTCGATGCGATTTGGGTGATAACGGATCGAATGAAAAAGAGTGCCCACTTTCTTTCTATCAGTGAGAGCTCTTATGCGGAGAAGTTGGTAGAGATGTATGTGAGGGAGATAGTGTCTCGGCATGGGGTACCAATTTCGATTGTGTCAGATCGGGATGTAAGTTTTACTTCTAGGTTCTGGAAGAAGTTTCATGAGGAGTTAGGTACGAGATTGCATTTCAGCACTACCTATCACCCTTAGACCGATGGTCGGAGTGAGAGGACTATTCAGACTCTTGAGGATATGCTTCGTGCATGTGTATTGGATTTTGGAGGGAGTTGGGACACGTACCTGCCTTTAGCTGAGTTCTCCTATAACAACAGCCATCATTCGAGCATCGGTATGCCTCCTTTTGAGTTGTTATATGCGAGGAGGTTTCGGACTCCCATTTTCTGGGGAGAAGTAGGGCAACGGGTGATGAGTAGCACATAGATAGTGCTACAGACCACCGAGCATATTCAACCGGTCAGAAAGAGATTGATGACAATCCAGAGCCATCAGAAGAGTTATGCGGATAAATGACAGTCAGAGCTTGAGTTTCAGGTGGGTGATTTCGTTCTCCTGAAAGTCTCACCTTGGAAAGGTGTTATCCGATTCAGGAAGAGAGGCAAGTTGGGGCCTCGGTATATTGGTTCTTTTAGGGTAACCGCCAGGGTGGGTAGGGTAGCGTATCGTTTGGAGCTACCTGCGGAGTTGAGTTAGATTCATGATACCTTCTACGTGTCTTAGTTGAGGAAGTGTATCGCTGATGAGTCGACGGTGGTTCCATTAGAGGACATTCAGGTGGATGCGAGCCTGGATTATGTTGAGAGGCCGATCACGATTCAGGATAGGAGGATCAAAGTTTTGAGAAACAAGGAGGTGTCATTGGTTCAGGTCCAGTGGCAACATCGGAAAGGGTCCGAGCTGACTTGGGATTCGGAGTTAGAGATGCGAGAGCAGTATCCAGAGTTATTTGCTGACCGAGACTTCGAGGGTGAAGTCTGATTCAAGTAGGGGAGAATTGTAACACCCAATTTCCTAGGTATATTAATTTATGTTGCAATTCTTTATTTATGTAGGGTGACTCGACGAGTTGGTGCTCAGACTCGTCGAGTCTGGTCGCAACTGGATGATGTGGTTAATGAGGGGACTCGACGAGTCAGGGGAGTGACTCGCCGAGTCAGAGCTGACGAAAGAAAACCTAATTTCTCGGGTTTGGGACCTATTTAAAGGCCCTTATGGACTTCATTTGCGGCTACCAGTCCATAAAGAGAAACCCTAGAGTGCCTGAGCATTTTGAGAGAGAAAAGAAGCCATTCTTGACCTTTGTGGTGTTGTTTAGCAAGAAGAAGGAGGTCCTAGCCAAGAGGAAGCAAAGGAGGTTGCTATTCTGTGGATTTGAAGCTAAGATCATTGCATTTGAGGTATTAAATTCGGCTTATCTTCTGTTTTATGAAGTATACATGGGTTTATGGTTTCTTATGCCCTTTGTTTGGTTGATTTGATGCCCAATAGTCCCTTTCTGGTGATGAGGTTTTGGATCTGGATCCATAGAGGTCAAGAGAGCCTCACTCATCAAGCTTTATGGAGAGCAATGGAGGTTATGACCTCGGGTTGTGGTATTTGGGGCTAAATTATCATATATGGTCATTTTGTTGTTGCATGTACATCAAGATAGAAACTTTACATGATTATTGAGCTTGGAATGGTTAGATCTAAGGATCATAGGAATAGATATGACCTTAGAAGGTCGTTTGAGGTTGTGCATGAAACAAACTTGCCGAGTCCATGAGTAGACTTGACGAGTCGGAGCGGTTTGTCCCGTGATTCAGATCAGTTGATGACTCGCCGAGTTGGGTGAGTGACTGGGTGAGTCAGAAGGGATTCACAGGACTCGAGTTCATGTATGGACTCGACGAGTCTATGCAGGTCTCGACGAGTCAGGTCAAAGGTTGACCATTGACCAGCCTTGACCAAGGTTGACTATAGTTGACTTAATAGTGTTAGTCAAACTAAGTTTATTAATTAAAGATGTACTAATGATATAGGAGGCGATACATCAGGGAATCGAGCTCGAGTGATTATCCGACATCAGCGAGGTGAGTCTTCTCACTATGCCATACCCAATGGGGTAACTAGGTGTGACCGGAAGGTCTTATGTGTATGATGTTTATGTGATGCATGTTATATATGTGATATGTTATGATATGAGTATGATGATATGGACCGGAAGGTCAACCAAGTATGGGCCGGAAGGTCAATAGAGTTATGGGATGGAAATCCCTCGAGACACTTGGATCGGAAGATCCTATAGAGTTATGGCCTGGAAAGGTGTATGTGTTGTATGTGACATTTTGGGGAACTCACTAAGCATTTATGCTTACCGTTTGTGTGTTATGTGTTTCAGTTTCCAGTGATGGTCGCGGGAAGGCACCGACATAATCAGTACACACTTGCAAATGACATGTTTCTTTTTGTGATCTTGGGATATGGATTTTGTATTGTGTTTTATTTTTTGAGAAAATATTGGATATAGGATTTTGGGATGATTTGGAAATGAAATGTTTTATTAAAATTAAATGAAAAATTGTTGAAATTTCTAACATTGTTACAGTCGCGTAGTCCAAAAACCGCTCGAACTAAAATTCGAGTTTCGGGTCGTGCACTGCTATGACAAATGTTACAAAATTTGTAACTTCCTCATACGAAGTCAGATTTGGGCGTTCTTCTTATGGACACTCTCAGGTTAACATATTCTATGAATTTTTTTTAGATTATTAAGGCTAAAAAGTCCTCTATCGTAAATTCACTATTTACATCTCCCGGTGTTGTGCCTGTTTTGCCAAAAAACTTTGATGGGTCATAAATTCTTCGTTATAACTTGGATTTCGGCGTTCTTTATATGTACCGAACCCTTGTAACATATACTAAAACTTGGTTAAGATTAATTCTTCTAAATAATCTTCCACCAAAAAACCATTTTTGATGCTTATTGACTCTAAATTGACTAGCTTGGATCTGCGAGCGTTACAAACCATCTCACCTCTACCAGCCGATCTAACTTGATTGTCGGCTTGCTCCCGGGGCACAGTCCTTGGGGCAGCTATAATGGTCCTGTCTATTGTGACCTCGCAGATTCCCTCCGGCGTAGGAGCACATCCTTAGAGCAGGCGGTCAAAACCGATAGCCGCATCAATATTATTCTTTTTTAATAAGATAAAGTATTTGTAAAGAAAACAAATAGAAAGAATAATTAGAAAAAGAAAGAGATAAAAGTGGTGACCTAGGTTGTGGTACCGAGCCACTCACATGAAATTCTTGCTTTTTATTTTTTTAGAAACATTTTATGATGATCTTTGGTGATCATCATAAAAAGAAAATAAAGATTTAAAGAGTCAATTGCCGAAAGCACTTAAAAAAAATAAAAAGTCTTAAAAACCATTCGACGAAATCTTTGTACCCACCACCAAGTCATCTATTTTTCTAGAATATATTTGTCACATTGGTTGATCTCAAATCTCAATATCACATTTGGTTTTTTTTTTCAATAGTGTTATGTATATATATATATATATATATATATATATATATATATATATATATATATATATATATTCTCATGCCACGTAGGAACAATATCTCTTCCATTAATCTTCCACTACCTCTCATTCTCCCAACCCATTCTCTTCCTACCAAAGAGCTCCAGGAAAAATTTGATGAGGACAAACACCAGCCTAAAACCAAAAGTATGGGGGAAAGGACCATGACCTGAGGGTAGAGATACTTACCATTACCGCGCCTCGCCAATGCAACAATCACCAGGGCCAGCACATGGGTGCGAAGGTATACCTTCAAAACGTACTTACCATATCATTTTCGATGGATGACCCCAAGCCAGAACACTGAGACCCAAATGACCCATTGCGCATCGTCAGCTTCATTAGCCAAAACCGTGTCGAACAAGTAAATCGATAACGGAAGCAGGATCAACATGATTTATGAGCACTGCTTTTGGCTGTTACCAATTGAATGGAAACAACACCTCCAACCAGCACGCCAGGGCCCGCTAGTTGGGTTTATTGGTCACGATATCTGGCCAGCAGGAATCGTCAAGCTCCCATTCACATTGATTAGTCATGATGGGGGCAAAACATATAACAAGGGTGCTCGAATTCTTAGTTGTTGACCGACCGACTGAACATAATATTTTACTAGGCCGGCTAGCACTTTTCCAAATACAAGTAATTTCGTCTACTCTCCACGGTATTCTCAAATTCAGTACGAGTGATGAATCATCAACGATAGTGGCAACCAATCCAGATAATGGACGCGATGCTCATCAAGATACAAAGCAAAGAACTCTACTTTGTCGAAGCGATAGTTATCAGAATGTGGAAGATCCATAATGGAGACCTGCAACAGCACAAGTGCTGACCCATGAGTCCAGGAAAAGGCAAAGAGATGTGGACCTAAGGATGGATCAGCCGGAGTATGAAGTGAAAATCGCAAGGGAAAGAAGTCCCTACTCACAGGTAAGGGCTCTAATCTGGCCCACAATCGATGGTTGAGCTTTGCCCAACTGAAAGGCGATTCGGGATTTAAAGCTCACCTGGGCCGATGTCAAACATGAACCAAAATCCCATGGAATAAGGAAGAGAAACACCGGGAGCACCAAAACTAGAGGCAAAGTGCCACTCTTCCTAACACGCAAGCCTTCTTATAGAAGAGAGCCAGCAAGAGCCTCTGATGAGCTAAACGACACTCTGAGGGATATTATGAAACTCAAGGTTGATAGGTGTGCAAGAAAGCGTGGGGGGTACTCTTACCAAGTTGCGGGGAGATACTTCCCATGACTATGACACACACTTGGTTAGGAAGAAGGGAAAGCGCATGCACCTCCAGAGCAGGAATGGTGGAATTCAACTCTCTCACGCTAGGCCCCGGTGGTGGAAATGAAAGGAAACCCCAACCTATCAAGAAACACTTGCAGCATATGACAAAAAGAGGCACAACCACGACGTGATAGTCATAGCAGAACACTCAATCAAAAATAAAGCAAAAGCTGAGAAAAAGGAGTTTGATCAAATTACACACAAGATAACCATGCTCCAGGTGCCGAAGCAAAGACCGAGCATGCGCGCTGATACTTAGACATTCAGGGTCTATTTTGTCATATCTTCCTTTTTTTTCCTAGAGGCTAGAGATAATATAATTTGCATTTTGAAAGAGCTTTCCAGAATTTTGTTTAACCAATTGCAAAAACACAAAGTATAGAGGTTGTGCATATTTTCCAAGTAGCAACAACGGCTGATCACCTACGCTATTTGAGCAAAATCTATGCAAGGATGCAACCGTATGTCTTAAAAGAGTCATAATCTTTACCTACAATGTGCCAGTAACATCTCAGAGTCGAGAATGTATAAATATCAATTAATGGCATGGAAAAGGGGTTCTAAAAGATTCCTAAACTTTCCCTTGATAATTGAACAGTAAAAGGCCTTGATGTGACGATCTCGACCAGCATACACGTAGCCAAACCTCAAAGTATAGTCAAAGAAATTAACAAACATTTCCTAACTTAACATGAAAAAGCTTGATTACAACATACAAATCGGTGAGATATAAGTCAGTATTTGTGGTTATACGATGTTTGATGCACACATTAACCGATTAATGCAAACCCTAGAACAAGGGAATGTACAGAAAGTAGTTACAGTAGAAACGTAGAATAGCCCTTCCTTAAAGATACCATACGAAAATTCAAAATTTGTATATATGTATCAAACAAAAAAGGGAAGAGAACATTCCCATACAAAACAAAAATACAGTGCCTGGTTATTAACAACCAGTGTTTTTCACTATACATATAGAATACATAGAAATGCAACTACATTACAGAATGAAGAAAAGGGACACACACAAATTAGTTCGAAGAAGAACCTCCCGGACTCGACCTGCGACAAAACTGGAAGAATCTATTATAATCTAGCTCCCCAAGCGAAAGAGGCCCACAAAATCCGTCTCAGCAAGGAAAGAAAGAGCAATATCCACCTCTTTGGTTCTTCTCGCGACACAGCCAGGATCCACGGTTTCATATTACCCAGACATTATGGAACAACTACATAGTTGCTTCCCCTTCTCAAACCCAAGGGCCTCACACACCATATGAACACCCTGGATTCCGATGACAAATTCCACACTCTCGATAACTTTATTAATTACGTGAACCACCCCCTTCTCTAGCATCCATTGTAAATTCCCTCGGGCAATAGCACCGTCAACATGGGCACGAGCCAATTGATGTTGGCACCAGGTCAACTCACTCGCTAGTAAACCTTTCTCCTGAGTAAGAGAAGAAACTTGACTTTCGAGTCGCTCTGTTTGGCCCTCAAAAATGGACACATGATCTTCCAAAACTGCCTTCTCGTAGGCCACAAAGCAATTTTGCTTTGAAAGTACTCAACGCTCAGCCTCCGAATTATGGAGTTCCTCCCTTATGCTTGCCATGGCAGCTTGCAAAGTTATTAATTGTTTTTCATTAACACTGGCATGGAAAACCCAGTCGGCGACAACAACCATAAGGGCAGACGCCTGAGCCATGACATAACGATGGTCACCGGCCATACGAGTACTCGATTGATCTGCAAACAGCCTCATTATAGCTGGAGGGTGAGCACAACTACTCCATTCTTGGGCGGTGATGTCTTCCGCCAGTAAGGGATCCTTTGTAATCGCCCAACTCGGAGCATAGGCCTCGAAAACAAAGAGTAAGAAGTAGTTCCTACTTCTCCCACCATGGTAGGCCTCTCCTGTTGGGAAGAACCTTTAGGTGAGCTCGATACACCCCCAAACACGGAGCCGAAACGAAGATCAACTGGGAATGAACCAGTAAACGGAGAAGGTGGTGTCAATGAAGAACTAGGCACTACCATTCTCCCTTTCTGCCTAAGAACATAAAACTTTTCACCAAGAACATCACCAATTCCACCAAGAAGCTTGGCCACGAACACAGTCTTATACGTCTTGCGAGGGTGGAGGCTCGCTTCATCGGATTCAGTCTCCTCGTCCGATGATGACACCACACATGTAAAAATCATCTCTTCATAATAGGGGAAATACATTTTTCCACTTGTACCCCCACATGCAAACTGAAAGAACACGAAGCCTGCAAAAAAGAACTGGGGAAATGACCCTAATAGCCAGTTTGGAAGGCGAGGTGGGTCAGCTGGAGCTAGCTTTTCCCCCTTCTACCGAGAGCAATACAACGAACTCTCACATGTGTTTTTTTGACATGGGAGGGGGACAAGCTTCCACAAGATCGATCTCCTGGTGGCAAAGCTTACCCCGATAGTGACCACGGATGCCATCTCTAAAGAAATTTCAGCTTCAACACCGTTAAAAACAAACGTCGAATATAAGAACTCACAAGTCAATAAGATACCCCATTCTAATCCTCTTTTCCTTTAAAAAGGGGAGGGGGAGGAAGCGAGTAAATACCGCATCACATAACGAACAACTGCGCCATCTTCCCATGAGCCCTCCAGGCGACGCTCATACCGGCCGCATCAAGGATGAAATCCTCCCAATTCTCTCCAATGATAGCGATGTTTGCTAGTAATTTGCCAAGACTTAAGTTACTCCCGAATAGATTGGGATGACAGTCAGGAAGGTCTTGGGTTCTGCGAAACCCATGCCCCATAGGGTTTCGCTTAACCCAAAGCCAATGCCTCTGCCAATTCTTCTTGGGGGTATCTTGTTCAGAGATCAACCGATAAATGCCCACCTTTTCACTAGAGTACGAATGTCAAAGTTTGTAGTTGAACAGAAAAAGTAACTAAAAACCCAAAAGTGGGTATACTACATAGGGATCGACAAATCAGGTTAATACCCATAATCTTATTGACCGCACTCCGGATTAACTCATCAACAGAAAAGTCACAGAGGGATCAAATGTTTAGAGGGATACTACTTTATAAAATGATGAGGAAGATACAACAAAAACTTCCAAACCAAAAAATATTGAAACTATTCTGAAGGTATCGTCTCCTCTAATCTCTTCCAAATGACAACCTCACCACTCACTTCATCAATTTTGATATCATCAATACCTCCTCTACCACAAATAAGTTGTATTGAAACATCTCTACCTCTTATTTCGATCCCAATATCCTCACAAATCTTCACAGACAAAACCATACCTACAACATCAATTGTCTCCACTCCACCAGAAGATCCTATTATCAAATCCATTGCAAAGGAGATAAGGACTACAATCATTCCGCATCATCAAATCCTCTTTATTATTTTTCCCAACAAGTGGTATCAGAGAGGGCCTTTGAAGATCGGAGAGTTTTTTGGAGTATCATTTCTTGATTTGATGAATTTCTACACAAGTTATTGAAGATCATTGTATTTTGGTGATATGGAATCAAGCTTCAAGTTCAAGTAACTGTTCATGGAGATTTATGGTGTTTGATATTGTTCACGTGGTATAATTTCGATCCAATTCCCATTTTATTCATATTTTTCTATGGACCTGAGCAGTTTTAAGCTCAAAGTCTTTTAACATGATTATTATCCATAGATCCATATGTTTTAGCTCAAAATCACGAGTCATTACTGTTCATTTGTTTAGCCTAATATTTCGATTCATTACATTGTTCATTTCACAAATTTGATTCCAAATCTTGTTGAATATAATTTATCTGTCTACTTGTTAGTCTTTGATTCTAATTTTCATTTGATTTCCTTCTGATTGCAAGTTGTTCTTGGTTCATGTTCGATTTCGTATATGATTTTATTGCTTGATCGAGATTGCATTTCTCTTTAGTCGATCTGATTCTTTGACTTTTTTCTTTCTTCTCGATTATCTACTGTGTATCGATCGATTCTCTTCATCTGTTGAACCAAGCTTCACTGATCTATAATCTATTTATCATCATAATATCAATATTTGATTTTCGATTTACACATTTACTTTTATCGATTTTGTTTGTTAATTGAATCATTCTAAGAAGTTGAAGATGATTATGGAGATTTGATGATTTATGGTTTTTGTGAGTACCAACATAAGTTACGAATCAGGAATTAGATGAAGAAAAGATGGAGATGGTGATGATTATTGTTGAATCGACTTGTTTGATCTGGAAATCGATTTGAGAAAATCATTTCAATGTTTATTGGGTTCAAAATAATAAAGTCAAAATTGGTTTAAATTCAGAACAGGAAGGATCTTTTGCAATCATATCATGAATAAAAAATCAGTAGTTATCGAAGGATGTCGATAGCTTTGAGTTTGTATGTTGGAATTTAGTTTTATTTCAAGACTAATTGTTATAACTAGAACAAAAGGCTGATTTGAAATTGTTGGTGTTGGAATTAAAAAATGACGACTGACATATTGGAATCTTTCGTAGATTAATATGGTCTCGCAATTGGAACAAAAACTAGAATTGGAACGATGATGCAATGGATCGATCGGAGCCGAAAATGAAAGACATATTCAAAATTGTGATGTTGACAGGAGTTGGGTATATTATGTGTTGTGTCAAATATGTTCTTGTATAATTTTATTTATTTCGAAATGGGTTGTCAATTCTCGGATCCGCTTTCTAGTCTAGCGTATATATAGTGCACGCATGTAACATATTAGGGTTACGCTTCTCAACCCTAATTTTTGTTTATACACTCCTACAAAGAAGTTCCATCTTTGAGAACTCTTCTAGAGTCGTTTAATCAAAGCAATAGGCACATTTTTTTATCTTCATTGTTCTTGTCTTTATTTCATGTCATTGATATAGAATCTATCAATCGTTATTTAGTTTTTACAATTGGTATCAGAGTAGGAGATGGTGTAATTAATTCGCTATTCTTCTATCCAGTATAGGGTTTTATTAGCGTTGTACGTTTATCTAATATCTGTTCTTATTCTCTCAATCGTCTTAATTGACTGTAGATTCCAAGTCTAGATCTCTAGTTTTTTTTCCTTAAACTTGATTTACGTTTTACACATCTGGTTCTATATTTGTTTCAGTGAATTCTAGATAATATGCCTAACGAAGATCCTCGTGCTCTTTCGTTCAGTCTCTCCAGCAACATTTGATCCATGGCAAGGATTCCAATTCTTTTCCCAGAGGACGATGAGGTCTGGGCTCTTCACTACGAAGATTATGTTCTTGGAAATTCTATCTTTGTTTCAGTGAATTCTAGATAATATGCCTAATGAAGATCCTCGTGCTCTTTCGTTCAATCTCTCCAGCAACATTTGATCCATGACAAGGATTCCAATTCTTTTCCCATAGGACGATAAGGTCTAGGCTCTTCACTATGAAAATTATGTTTTTGGAATCGAAGAACATGGTTCCACAATATGGCAGGCAATAACACAGGAAACATTCTCGTATTCGGGTGCCAGACAAGTAATCAAACTCTAGATAATTATAATGCTCTCATTATTGAACATACTAATATTCAATATGATGAGAAGAATAAGCTAATATGAAATATAAAATCCATGAGAATCATCCGATTTGGGCTTCCTCCAGACACTTTTCGTCTTGTTAGTACATGCGATACGGCTAAAGGTATTTGGGATAGGATGAGGGAGATATATTCAGGTGATGCTTATTTATAACCCTCTGTGCAAACATTTCTCATATAGGAGTTTGAAGCGTTTGTACAAAAACCTGAGGAGAAGTTAGATCGGACGTTCAATTGCTTCAATCATTTGTTAATCTAAATGCTCAAACACAATCTATAGCGTGAAGTTATTGAGCAAAAATTCACATTCCTGAATGTGCTTAGATTCGAATGGAAGGCTATTTTTTCCACTATTAGGGCAGACAAACAATTTAAAAGCTATTCGTTGACCAAAATTGTGGGTATTTTGAGATTCCACGAAGATGAAGTTACAAGGGAAGTGAAGCTTGTTTCTAGTGTTGGATCCTTGGCATTGGTTGCGAAAGGAAAGAAGACAACATAAGAAGATTTTGAATCTGACTTTTCAAATATTGAAATCTCAAAATAGGACAAGGCTCTAATGGTGACTAATCCTAAGAAGTTCTTTAAAAAGAATTTCCCCCATTATAGAAATAAGTTCAAACAGGGAAATTCAAATTTGAATAAGCCAAAAGAGGAAAGCTTCAAGAATTTAGTGAATGATGAAGAGAAAAAGAAAAAGAAGTTATTGGGTGATTCGGGCTATGAATATAACTATTTTCATGGTAATAATCACTTTGCAAAGGAATGCTTGTTAAGGAAGCAGAATAATAAAAAGGAAAAGGAAAAAGATGAAGCATACTATGTTCAGAAGATTGAGGAAGTCAGAAAGAAGAATAATGCAAAAACCAACGTTGATTGTATAGGAAGAAAGTGATGATGGACGATTCGAGGTGTGGTCTACAGACTCAGAGGTTGACGAGGTTAGGAAACCCACCAATGGCGGGTGTTCTGTAGTGAACTTAGAGAAGCAGGATTATGAAGGCAAGTGCATGATGGTTCGAAATGCAGTTTCAGAACCTAGGGGATATGCTAATGATGGCTAAAAGACTTCCAAGAGCTGCTTTACTACAAAGATAGTCTCGGAGCAAGTGAAAGAGTGCGAGAAGGTGGTTGACTTACGATATACTATTTCTAATTTTAGTGATAGTTTAAAACGAACTATTCTCAATACTTCTAATATGACTGATAACCTTAACAGGGTAACATTTAAAAGTGAAGAGAGAAGGTTAAAAATAGAGCCATTGGAAGTAGCACTTAATAGATCACGTGATGATATTATTTATCTTAAAATAGATAGTCTTGCACTTTTGAACAGAGGAATATTTTTTGTTTAATTTCTAAGCATTTATATTTCAATATTACTCAATTGCATTTGGATCGTGAAATAGGAAAAGGTTTGCATAAAATGATTTTACCCTTTCTTGAATTGAAAGAGGATGAAATCGATGCTAATTGCTATAAATGCAAATCTATTGTTTCGTCAGATGACGTTTCTGATTCAAACAAGGTTGGACTTGAGAAAACTGAAGAATACATTCAGTCCAAAGAGCACAAAAATATGTCGAAAGTAATGTTAAATGATAAGGATAAAGAAGAAATCAAATTAACTTCTATGCAGAAGTATGACTTATTATGCAAGAAGTTGAATTCGAAAAATACTCTTGATCATAATAATATTTCTGAATTCGATGAAAGCGAAATGAGCGAGTTATCTTTAGATGACGAAATTGATTTTTCTGCATTTGTACAAAATTGTGTGTACAAACTTCTGATGAAATAAATAAAGCTTTGATTTCATAAAACTCAATCGAATTTGTTCGAATTGTAGAAATTAAGGTTCAAATGTTTTATAAGAAAAAGCAACAATTTTTCCAAAAGTATAAACAGTTCTGAATCAAGTTTTTGTAAAAATAGGACTAAACAAAAATTATACATCTGAACTAACGTCCCTGGTTGATAATGATAATGCGCATGATGTGATGAATTCTTTTGGTCCAAGCCAATAGACAACACGGAAGAAACAAAAGGTCTTTCAGAAATGACCTCCTGGAAAACAAAAGGAAAATATGTTCAGAACCATTAAATTGTGTGGACCTTTGTTACAGAAAGGACGGACCAAGCGGAACAAAAGATGTTTCTAGTGAAACCTCTTCAGAATAAAACAAAAAGTCAGTCCGAAAGGAAAAACCGAAAGCTAACATTCACAAATTTGCTGAAGAGTTAATTGCTAAGAAAAGACATCTGAATGCTAGATATAGAAAGAAAGAAAGTGTTTTTGGAAAAATATGAATTCCAATAAAAAATTGGTCAACAGAAAACAATCCTATAGTTAAAATAAGAATTCATCTCCAATTCTGAAACCAAAATCAAAGTCTTCTTCAAAACCATCGTTTTCAAATCCAATTGTTAAATCCCAAAATTTTAAGGGTAAAGGCAAAATTGCTTCGGAACAAGAAATTACCCATAATAAAGAGTACAAAGAAAAATTAAAAATGGAGGAATAATAATTTTCAAAAAGAATGAAATTTAGAGAATATATTCAACGAAAAGATAATTGGGTTGAAATTAATCTTTGTGACAACAAAGTCTAAGTTTTTAAATTAGAAAAGGGAATGAATTGTGCTTTGAAAAGAAAATCCTTTTGGGTTGACAAAACAAAAATCTTTCTAGTTCATAAGAAATCCTCACAAGGACCCAAGTTGGTTTGGGTTCCTAAAACTCTATAAATTTTGCAGGTAATGTCTGAAGAACAGTTTTCGAATGCTACATTGACAGCG